ATTTCGCCATGTTGACTAGGCTGGTTTCGAACTCCTGGCCTCAAGGGATCCACCCCTGTCAGCTTCCCAAAGTGCTGGGATTACAGTGTGAGCCACTGCGCCTGGCCAGAATTTAGTTTATCTTGTCTTGTATGCTTTGCCTAAAAAGAGATACAGCTTGAGATAAAAATTTACATCATTTCATAGGCAGTGACTGGTTTGTCAAGTGGCTAGGAACTGGGAATGTAAACGTTTTGGACTAGGTCTTTGGAATAGGGCCTCTCAAAGTAGCCCCAGAGTATGAAAACATTTGGGTTCTATTGAATGTTAAAAAACAACAACAACAACAAAGGCTTCCATTGCAGAAAGGCTCTTAATCAGAACAAGATTATTATATTAGTTATCTATTGCTGCCTCACAAATTATCCCAAAATTTACTGGCTTAAAACAATAAACAGTTATTCTCTGACAGTTTTTGTGGATCAGGAATGTAGAAGCCAGAGTGACTGTGGTTCCGGGTCCTAAATGAGGTTGCGGCCGAGCTGTTGGCTGGAGTCCCAGTCTCATATAAATGCACAACTAAGGGAGTATCTGCTTCCAAGCTCGTTCACATGATTATTGGCAAGATTTGGTTCCTTGTGGACTTTGGACTGGAAACTTTCTCAGTTATTTGTTAAGTGGGCTTCTCCAAAGGCTATCTTGCAACATGGCAGCTGGCTTTCCACAGGACAAATGAACTAAAGAGCAAGGAAGACCCCTCAAAATGGATGCTCTGACCTTCTGTAATCTCATCTCGGTAGTGACATTCCACCACTTCTACTGTATCCTATTATTAGGTCCAGCCTACTCTCAAAAGGGGATTACACAGGGGCTGCAACAGTGACCCATTCTGTGGACATCACTCAGCCTCCTTCCCCCACAACAGCTGTGGACTCAGTAACAAGGTAGCCATGGTGGCAAGAATAGAGACATACATGTACTTTTAACACCGTCTTTCTTCTGTCATGACTGCTTGGCTACTACCACTACTTACCAACTGCAGTGACCAACTTGATCCCCTGATATACTTTTATGTGGCCTGGGTGGCAGGTCTGACAATGAAATCCTACTGTTATGAAGGAGGATTTATTCTTACAGGAATAAATTTATTCTTACAGGAACAGACAATTATTCTGCATTTAGAGTGCTTTCCTTGATTTATGCTTGCTATATACTCCACCTGTGGACTTACTATATTTATGCTTGCTATATACTCCACCTGTGGAATACCTTAACACACTACTCCATGTTTAATACAATATCCTACACAACATTGCTTCTTACCGAAGAACTCATTTTCCCGTGAAAGATGTAAAGCAGGGGACTAATGCCTGCGGGATTCACAGTCTTATGTATTCCATCATCCAAAAGCAACCGATTTTATGAAATGACGGACAACCTTATTGAAGGTTGTTTTGGAACCAGGTGAGAAAATACACTTTGGGATACTGCCCTAAAGGATTTGTCATATTTTCCAAATGAATTAACGGTATTTGGTGATATCTCTTCTGTTGACAGAATAACAGAGATCAAAGAGTAGAAAAGGGTCTGACTTCTTGCTATTGTGTTTGACTCACTGATATATTTTGCTTTCCATTGTGGGAGAGGAGAGACAAGCTCCCATGGCCTCTGAACATGCCTATATATTATTACTGAGTGTGCCAGACTGCAAGTCTTATCCATCTCCTGATACTAAGCAGTTTCTGTAGCTAGTCATATAGGCACCTAAGTAGGTCAAGGCAGTCACGGCATTATTACCATTTAACTGCTGCTATCTGGGGGAGAGAGACTAGCTTGTTTGTTGTTTGTTTAAAAACCGCTTGATTCTTGATCCTGGATTCTTCTGTAATGCAACCCCCAATGTGCATATATGTCATCTGGCCCTCTGCATCACACTGTGGGAATTGGGCTACAGGAACTGATGCAAATATGCGAACACTCTGGCTTCTATTTTGCTGTAATAAAGCTGTTTTGTCTTTTGCCCAGGAGTATCATGTCAGCATCCATGAAACTGCAGCAATCTAGCCTGTAACCTTGCAAGTAGGATAAAATCTCAGACCCTTTACTGCGCTTGCCAGCCATCTCTGTGACTCCAGGTTCTGTTGGCATAGCAATTTTTGTGCCCAGCTGGAATTGCCACTCAGCCATTTTGAACTCATTCCTCTAGGTAAGGTTAGAGAAAGTGGTGATGATGCTAGCTGGAGTGATTGTCCCTGATGACCATGGAGAAAAGAGAGTAGGGAGAAGAGTATAACCAGAAGTCAGGGGGTCTCCTGGAATACCTCCTCGCAATACCATGGTTTTATATTTTATTTTAAAAAATACCATGCTGAATGGTAAAAGTTACATATAAGACAATTACAACCATATATCGGCAAGACCACCCACACCTCAGAGCCTCTGTCATCCACTGGATACATAAATCTGATCAGCAGAGGTGCTGGTTGAACACAAAGAAAACAGAAAATAGTTGGCAGTGGTGAGAAGTCATAACCATCCAGATTCACGACCAGTGACAGGACTGAGTACTGTATTTGCGATGTGTTATTAGAGAAATTTGGGACATAAAACGTGATGCTGCTTTTACACTATCCTGAAAATTTTCATTCAGTTGGTCTGTAATAAGGTCCTGGAATGTGTATTTTTAAAGTAGTCCAGGTAATTCTTACCATGGACACTTGCAAAGAACTGTTCTATTTTCTTCCTCACTGGCTCATGCATGTCTATAAAATTTTCTTATTTCATATGTATATATATATTTTAGTTGGGGGTCTCCCTGTCACCCAGGCTGTAGTGCAGTAACTCACTGCAGCCTGGAACTCCTGGACTCAAGTGATCCACCCACCTCAGTCTTCCAAGTAGCTGGGACTACAGGTGCATGCCACCAGGCTGTTAAATTATTTTGTAGAGATAGGGCCTTGTTATGTTGCCCAGGCTGGTCTTGAATTCCTAGCTCAAGCGATCCTCTCACCTCAGCCTCCCAAAGTGCTGGGATTACAGTCATAAGCCACCACACCCAGGTTCTTTCCTCTCTTATCATACTGTTATGATGTATAGGGGTGGGGGTTAGGTCACAATTTTGTTTATGAATTGCAAACTATTGAGATGAGATTATTACAGAATCAGAGAACATCACAGTGAGGTCCTGGACTTAAAACTGGATGAGGGATAGTAGTACTATGTCAGAAAGATGAATTTTCAATGTGTACATATGGAGAGAGAATTATGCTTGCAGATGTTGGGAAGAAAAAAGATGGACTACATTACACCTGATGTGTTTATATTTGGTGCTGTCATCAAACCAATTTCCTATGTTTGGTTAACCTTGGTAGAATCAAGGGTCCTGTTTTCTACTGTGGAAACTAACGAGGTCAGATACACCTGCTGTCTTTGATGCCTGACACCCCAAGCACTGGCACAAGA